ATTCTTGTCGAAAACATATTTCATTTTTTTAAAAATTAATTGACCGTTACTTCCAGGTGCCGATTTAATTTTCGTCTTTAAATTATCTATTAATTTTACTGACTCACATAAATTTATCTCTTGTTTTTCTAATAAGGTAATTGTGGTAACTATTAATTTATAATTGTCATTGATATAACCGAGTTCCTGTTTCAATTTGGGATTTTTTAATATTTTTTTTGCTTCTCGAATGGCTTCGGAAATATCATCATCAAATTCTGACATAACTAATTCTATTTCATTGCAGTGTTCAAAGTAAAAAAAGACTGCTTCGAGCCAGGTTCCCCACCTTGTAATTACTGGTTTAGGTGGCAAAGGGACACCGGGAAGTCTTTCTTTATATATTTGCACCCTCAACGGAGCCTTTACAAAAACTTTTTTCATAAAATTTATAAAATTATTTACCAACGGAAACAGATTTCTTATTTCTTCAGCAATTCTATTTACCCCGTGGGCTACACAAGTGCAATGAATTAAATTAGGATAAAAAATTTTTAAATTAACAGCAGCTTTTAACATATATGCCGCAGCATCTGAAAGCATTAAAACTATTTTATTCACTGGTATAGCGTTGGGTAAATAGAGGTTTGTTAAACTATCTTGTATAAATCGACTTATTGTTAAATTGTTTGTTTTTTCCAATTCTTTAACGGCAACTAAATAAGGTTTTCTCGCAAAGTTTTCGTTCAAAATTCCAATCATTAAATTAGCTATATACCTGCCGCATACATCTGTCGTTTCATCCACGATAATATACAAAAAATTGCCCTCCAACTCGTGCTTAATTTTTGAAATACATTCCACATAACATTTTTCCACAGTATGTTTTCTCAATGTACTCTCGTCCGGTAAGGATTTATTAAGATATTTTTCAAAAAAGCGTTTAAAACTAGGGTTATTAACTTTATATAGAGGAATGTTGGATGCAATCATCATCTGGCATAAATCAAATTTAAATGCGTCTTCCTCCTTTTTTTTTGAACTGCTTAAACTATCCCGCAGAGATGTTTGGGCTAACTTAGAGGAATTTAATTTTTCCAAATTACGTTTATGAAGTGGGGTTCCACAATGCTGGTCAATAAAGTACTTTTTTCTACTTGAAATCTGAGAATTAAAAAAAAATAATTAGAATTCTAAAACCGCTTTAGAATTTAGTTATGTTGTGGGACGAGAAAAAAAGAAAAAAAAAAATAAAACTTACCGATTTGCCGCATGGTTTACAAAATGCTCCATCTCCTTCTAGAGAAAGTTCCGAATAAGGTGCGATCCATAGCCTTAATTTAGATGTCATCTTTTCACACAACTGTCTTGAACGTTTTAAAACGTGTTCTTTGCTTTTCGGTATACGCAACAAAACTAAACTAGGATATAGCAATTTGCTAATTTGTGAGTAAACTCTGATACAGTAACCGACTGTACAACTGATAATAAACTAATAAAGCTTAGGGATTTCCAAATAGTTAACCCTCAAGTCTCGATCAGGTACATTTTCCTAGAAATCTATTATATAAACAAACCATTGATATTTTATTATTGACCCAAAATTTTATTATAGAATGGTTTAGTAATAGAATAATATCATGGGTAGTACCATGAAATTTTAAAAAAGGCACAAATAGGCGGAATTTACGAAAAAAGGCAAAAAGTGCAAAAAACACTTATAATAGGCAAAATAGGCAAAAAAAGGCATTTTGCCTATAATCCGAGCTTTACTCATCACATGTCCCAAGTACTCAAGTTTTCGTCTTTTAATAGTTAATATTATTTCCGCCTCATTTCCTATCCTTCTAGTTACTTTCATGTTTGACATTCTTTGAATCCATGATATTCGTAGGATTCTTCTGTAACACCAAAATTCAAAGGCGGCCAGCTTATTCAGATGAACTTGTTTTAGTGTCCAAGCTTCCAGACCATAAAGAAGAGTAGAGAACACGTAACATCGAAGCATTCTCAGGCGTAGTTCTAACCTTACATCCCGACAACAAAGAAACTTTTTAAGTTTAATAAATGATGTACGTGCTATTTCAATACGTGTCTTAATTTCTTTGGTTTGGTCTACATCTGATGTTATCCATGTTCCTAAATATTTATAGTTATTAACATTCTCAATTGCAGTATTTAACTACAAAGTCAAAACTACAGTTTATTGTAGTTTTGACCAATTATCGTAAAAGATCTAATTTGTCGTAGTTTACTGTCTGGGATTTTGATAATTATTACATTTTCTTTATCCACAATGTCAACAGTCTTCATTTTTACCATTTCGTCGCATCGACAGGCGCCGGTAACCCCAATTAACAAAACAATCTGAAATATTTTTATAATTTAGTAGAGTATACTACATGCTTTGCAATATAATTTTTTTTATCTTTTCATAGATGATAAGCTTCCATAGCTGATTGAGGTATTAGTTTATAATAGTATTTCAATTATCTTTGGTAGTCTTATCGTTAAAATCTTGTATGGTAATTGATTAATTCTTTTTTATAGTAATTAGTCGTTTATTTTATGAGTTGGTTGTTTTGATATTTATTGCAAATTTTCAACTTAATGTCAAACAACGTAGATTTTTCGTAATACTAACCCCAAAGTATTTCGATGTGAGTAATAAACCCGGCACTGAAATAGTCTGTTTATTCTTGTTCCGTTTCTCGACTTGAAAAGTTGAAGTTATTACGACCAACGAGAGGCGACAAGAATGGTTACACTTCTCGTATGCCACGTGTGCTCTAAAAGTTTTTAAAACAAACTTGTCTTGTTGAGATGTACTTGGAAATTAGTTATGATAGACTTTATTAAAAATATAACTCATTCTTGGTTTTCTTGTTATAAATTATTAAAATGTCGCTAAATAATATAAAGAAATAAGAACAAAATTACGCATTCTACTTCATTGTTGTTTATTTACTGTTTAGTTACCAATTATATAACGGTATACTTCTTGATGCTCCAGCAAAAGTGTCTACCTTAATTTAGAGAGTTATTGCAAAGTTGACAGTGCCTGCGCTGCACTATTTACACCGCGCTATTTTGACAGTTTTGACATACGGCTGACACATCGCAAGGAGTGATATTGCTTAAATTTATGCACACTTTGTTGCGGTATTTACGTTGTTTGTTTGTTCGCAAATTATTTTGAAAATGGATTATGATTTAGAAGCACTTATTTTAGCAAATGCTCATGATGATGATATAGAATTCATCATTTTAAATAACATTGTAGGTGAACATGTATTACTTCCACAAAATGAAGAATTTAATATAGAAAACATGTCCAAATCAGATGTAAAAGTAAATTTTAGGTTTAGCAAGCAAAATATCCCTACACTTACAAGAGCTTTACGTCTACCAGATTTTATTCATACCAATACTAGAAACTCTGTTAGTGGTAAGTGCATTTGCATTCTACCTTATTTTTGAAATTATGCCATTACATTTTTGTTTTTAGGAGTGATGGCTCTGTGCATACTATTGAGAAGGCTCGCATACCTCAGCAGGCTTAAAGACCTTCAGCTTTTATTCAATTTGTCACTTCAATCATTATCTCAAATTATTAGTTATATGGTTGCATTTATTTATGAAAATCATGCAGATCATTTAACAGATCTGAGAAATGTGCCATGGTTAAATGAGGGACGAATGGAAATGTATGCTGAGGTAAATCTACATTTATTCATTGGAAAAGTGACTTAGGTATTAAATTTTGTGTCATGTTTTAGGCTGTACGTACAAGAGGTGGTGCTATCCAAAACTGTTGGGGATTTATAGATGGAACAACAAGAGCAATATGCAGACCAACAGTAAATCAAGAAGATTATTATTCTGGTCATAAAAGACAGCATTATCTGAAGTACCAATCTATCATGTGCCCTGATGGAATTATTATCAATTTAAAAGGAGCACATATTTGACGACGACATGATGCTGGAATTTTTAGGGAATCTAATATATATAACGAATTAGAAGCTGTGGCCACATTTGGCGATAGAAATTATGTTTTATATAGGGACCAAGCTTATCCCATAAGTAACTTGCTTTTGTGTCCATATCCTAATAGACAGAGTTTACCACAACATCAACAGGCATTTAATAACTCAATGAAAGTTATTAGAACTGTTGTAGAATGGGGGTTTCAGAAAGTTTTAGCCCAATTTGCATTTCTAGATTTTAACAAAAACCAAAAACTCCTATTACAATATTTACAAAGTACAAAGTTGAAGTTATATTAAACAACTGCCATACTTGCTTGTATGGCAGTCAAACCACCAGGTTTTTTAGCGTTGTACCACCAACATTGGAAAACTACCTACAGATGCAATAGCTTACAGTTAGGATGTAAATTCAAATTTTTTGCTTGTTTAATATTTTCTTTTAAGTTCTTTGTTACTTATATATTATATTAATTTATTCTTAATTTGTGTTTTAATTATAAATACCTAAAATTATATATTATGTTGGAAATAAACATAATATTTATATAATTTTAGGTAGAAGAAAAACAACACCAAAACATGAAAACTACCTACATATAGAGGAACAATAAAAATGTAATAATATTTTAGCTTTTTATTTATAAAATTTACACATTCATCTTCATATTTTTGTAATCTTTTTAATAAAAAATCTATAATTTTTGATTGTGATTGAATATGAGCTATAGTGCTCTTTTTTTGTCCAGATCTGCTTTCATCTTTTCTCTTTCAAATTCCCTCTGCAATTTTGTTTCATTAAATTCATTCTCCCATTTTTTTTTCCTGAAATCTGAGTTTTTCCTGTTCTATATTTAACCGTCGTTCTTCTAATTTAGTTTTTTTTCTTCTAAAGCTAATTTCCTGGCTCTTATATTAAAATCTTTTTCATTCTTTCTGTTTAGATAGTCCAAACCATTTGTACACAACAGCACACTTTTATTTTGCCTCCTTTTTACTGGTCCTAAAAATTTAAAGTGTAAATACTTATCTTTATTTTATTACACACTTTGGATAAATAAACATATCCATTATTTGTTTTTTATTATCTTCTGCCTTATCTAAAGTTCTTGGAATACCTAAAATAAAAAAAAATTAGTGAAATAAGCATTGCATCTTTTTTACATTTGTTCAACAAGATATATGTTTTAGTATAAATAAATACTAACATGGTGTATTTTGCGTTGACTCTACTTCTTCGGCCACCACATTGTCTACAATTACCTCTTCACCTCGATGTTCTGATAAAATAACTGAAAAATAGTTATGTTAAACAATATTATTATAAAAAAGAAAGGCATATTAGTTATCATAACTATGATCAATCTCAACTACTTCTGTTTTGTCTCTGGTCTCACTTTCTAGGTATACTGAGGAATGATTATCCCTCATTTTTCGACCCAATTCAATTATTTGCTTCTCCTTAGAAACAGTTCGCCTCTTTTTCGGAGGAGGTGCCAAAGTTAAATCCGCACACATATCTGCTATTTCCTGCAAACATCTGTCCCTTTCACTATACACTTCTTCTACTCCTGATCCAAAACAAAACTTTAATTATTATATTTTGTTGAATACAAAATAGTCTAGATATCATACAATATGTATACTACTCTTTCAAAATGTGTTTTTTCTGAACAAAGACATATATTTATTATCATGAGTCTTATTTTTTAATTTTATTAATAACGAAACAAACCTTTTCTGGTCTGCTTCAGTTTTTTTTCCAAATATCCAGCAAGAGAAACAAATAGTCCTTTAGAGTTCTTATAATAAAGGATTTTCCTGTTGCACTCCTCATGTTTTCCTAAACTAACCTCCAATTTTCTGGTTAGGTCAATGGATTTTGACCTAAAACAAATCGTCATCAGACGTACATCTGATCCGTTTGCTACTGTCTGATGTACTCATTTTGAAAAAAATTTTAGAAATACACTTGGTTTAAATGACACAAACACAGAGATATCTCTGCACAAACAACAAAAAAAAAAATAGCGCCAGCGAATTCCGCAAAGGCTAACGGCTCCCCTAATAACGGTAGGCCTTATTTTCAATAACGCAGCGTAAGCCAAATATCACATCTGCGCATGCTCTACTGTCACGCGTGCTGTAATACAGCAAGTGCAAAATTGACTATGCAATATCTCTCTAATATATACCTTAATACCGGAAACTCCAAAGTTCATTTACGTAAAATGTTTAAATGTTGTTCATTTTAAAAGTTAAGTTTTTCCTCGCCACTTGATCTTTTTTTTGAACTAATCAAAATAACAATAAAAAATACTTTGTATTTTTTATTACCAACAATAAAAAATTATGAGTATTGACTTATTTTCCATATAATAGTATTAGTATGGATTGTTAAATTGCTATAGATCTTCTTCTGATAATGTTAATAGTTTCTTTAAATCTTTAAAGGTTTTGGAGAAGATAGTCTAATCTAACATATGCTTAATAATCAAACACATATCTCTAATAATGCTAATAAACGATTCGTATAAAACGAATTTTAACTACGTAGACATACACCTCTTAGACATCTTCACGGAAATTTTATTCTTATAAATTTAATTCTCAAAAACTCTTAAAAAATTTTTGGATGCCACTGGAAGAACAGGAATAACTCATAATGGTCATTACAATCTCCTGAAATTTAGTATTTACATTTTTGATACTCAACTATAGATTCTATATCTTAAGGTACCTATCAACATAGCTGTCCTTACTTTTCAGGCAGCTATTTAGAATAGCAAGGTTGTGTTAAATCATTCTTTTTTAAGCTTTGAAGCCAACAGATTATTCTTCTCCCTGGTCTTATTTTTCCATACAGTTTGACCTAAAGAACGACTTGCAAAAACCATCTCTGCTTATTTCTCATAATATGACTTATATATTTGAATTTTGGTTTTTTTTTGATGAATAATCTCGTAATCCTTCCCGTTAACATAATGCAGCTAGTCCACCCATTAAATTCTTAATGTAAACCTCTAACTCACATTGTGAATGAAGGTTTTTAACGAAGTGTCAGAACGCATCTAAGACTCTATTCTGTATAATACGGTAGAAAATACATCAACTTGAGCAGCAAATCATTATCCAAAAAATATATTAAAGGGAAGTTTCTATATTGGAGTTGTGTTACTTATTGCCTACAGTAAAAGGCTAAGATAAATGTTACGGAATTAGAACCAAGAAATAGTTGGAAGAGTACATTTACGGGACAAGCAGAGTCCGTTTTAAAACATGGAAACTTTTTCAATTTTATTAAAATCTTTAACACGTATATTAACTAACAATCTTTTTATTTACTTTCTGCTGTACTGTCTGCTGTACTTCTGTTTTTATATTTATGAATGCTGATAATACCTTTCCTAAGCATTATTATATTTGGATAGAGTAATCCCGTTGGATGTTTATATTGGTACCAATATATGTGTAACTATAAAATATACCAACATTAATGTAATAATACTTTTAGGGTACTATTAATTCCTAACAACAGAAAATTTAAGACGTTTATAAAATCAAAAATAACTTTAAAAATTAGGAAAATCCAAAAAAACGTAGGATTACCTCTGTAGGGCTTTTACTTTGGGTGACAAAAGTCATTCAGTCAGTTTTAACAGATAAATAAATCTTTATTCAGAGAAATACAGAATGCTGTCAATAGCAAGATATAGACGGATAATTATCATATGACAGCAGAATAGAAATAGGGTTAATATATAGGTATATTAAATTTATTGTCACTTACATTTTGACGCCAGCTATTTATTACGAGGATTAATAGTTTATCTGTCAATATTACTTTAACATTACAGTTGTCTATCTATTTCTCTCAATTAGGTCAATTAATAGAGTTTCCAAATAACACTGATCATAATTTACAGTGGAGTAATCTGCCACGTTTCTGTGAAAAATAGCCTCATAATTTACAGGGGATTCCCTAGTCAGCATTCAGCTGTTTCAAAATTGTACGAATTACGTGAGTAGAATTTTTCAGTTGATGTAAACCTGTGATGTGGATTAAGGGATGCAAAGTAAGTAACTTAAAACGTTACAGAAAATAACTACAAAAGTTGCAGCTTAGAATTATAATTTTTTGTAGGTTTTTATTATAGTGTGTTTCTGTTATATTTATACTAAATTATGTAGATTTGCCTATGATAAACTTTAATTTTGATGCACTGAATTTTGATGTCAAAATACATTACAAAACAAAACAAAAATATCACAGTAATTGCATAACAATAAATAGTGGAGCGCCTGGGGGTTTTCATCTCGGATTCGAGTTACAGTGAAAGAATTAATATGATCGATGTGGGATATTGTTTTTAAAACTATAAATTGGAATGTTTACCCAAAATTTTTTTGTGCACTCTATTTTTTTTTGTTGAAACAAATTATTCTAAAACATTTATGTTTGACCATATATTTTCACTTTGAACAGTGTTTTTTTATTATTTACATGTTAAATATTGTATGAGTAGACATAAAGAACATTTTTCAAAGACTCCTGTGTATAAAAATAGCAGTAGCGATCTCGAACAGTTAGAAAAACGTGGAGGGGGAGCGAGATAAATGAAATGTACTCTATTGTGTACATTTAAAAAAATAAGGGAATTAATTACGACTAATGAAAAGAAAAAAAATTATTAGTATAATATCTGTTTACTTAAATATATTAAATTGTTGTCTATATCAAATAAGATTTTTAAAAATCAATTGTAATAAAGTATGAGCACGTACAGCTCTAGCATAAGCATGTCCAGATGCCATGTAATCAATTGTATTTTCAGCATATATGGTAGATAGAGCTTCTTTTAGAGTATGAAAAGAGCCTAGCCTCACAACAACTAATACTTCATCAGATAAATGCACAGCAGAAGCAATATCCCGTGCTTTCATGTATAAAAGTTGATATAATGTTAAGATTCATATTCTCATATTCAATTCTTTAGCATTATCTACGGAACTTTTCACAGTTGTGTAAATTGTGGAGCTGTATTAATAAAAGGCAAAAAAGTTATCAATGACACATCAAAATCATGTGCATTAGTTAATAAATTCATAAATCCATTCCATCCGAGAAATTTGATATTATTTTTGAACTTCAAATACGTCCACAAAATATTTAATTGCCCATTTGTAGTAAATTTCTAGATATCCGGTTCAATTTCAGATAAGTAAACTACTATCTTTGAAAATCCTAAACCTGTAGAAGTTGAATATATTTGCGGAGGGATATTTCCGTGTTTGATAAATTAAGATTCTGGTGGTAGTGTCTTCAGACGCTTGATAGGTCGTCGAGGTTAGGTTAGGCCACCTAATTCTGCCTTATTTGGTTTTACAGGAAGTAAGAGCCTTGTATCTTTTGTTCCTAAGAAAAATCGTGCAGTGTTGTTAGTGTCAACTATGCATCATTCCAATACAATGGTTAATGGAAAGCCAGAGATTATAAATTTTTACAACGAGACAAAAGGTGGGGTGGATTCATTGGATAAGAAATGTGCATGCTATAAAACTGGCAGAAGAATTTCGCATTTTGGACATTGCAGGATTAAATGCTAACGTAATTTTTAATGGAGTTCAGCAAAATCAAATAATGGAAAGAAGTTTGTTTCTAACCACTTTAGGTCAAGAACTTATTAAGGCCCATTTAACTCGTAGAGCTCAGCAAACTTGTTTACCGAGAGAAATTCGTAGTGACATTTTTAAAGTTTCCGGACTTCAGGAACCAATGCCTGCCGCAAATCCAGAGCCACAACGACGAAAAAACAGGGGAAGGTGTAAAATATGTTCATATTCCAAAAACCAAAAGAAAGAAAGCACATCGTGCGATAAATGTCGAGATTTTATTTGCAAAAATCATTCCCGCATACAGACGTTATGCATAAGCTGTGTTGAAAATTAAGGTAAAATCATGCTTGTCAATTTTGAGATACGAAATCTACATAGATTTTTTTTATTTTAGGTAGGAGCTATGATACCTAGATTTAACCATTGGATATAAAAAAACTGCACATTGTTATTATTTTTCTTATAATTCGAGAAAGTGCAGCTATGTTAATTTGACTGAATACAAAAGTTTTTTTTAAATAAAGCTATATCTAATTAACCAAATTCGTTTATTTTTATATAAATGTAAAAGTAGCTGTAAACAAAATAATTTAAAATAAAACAAGTTAAAAAAAGAATATTTTTGATACAAAAAACAATGGGGGATCAAATTTGACCCTGCCATGGTACAAATGTTACTATTTTTGGCCATGGTAGTTAAGGGTTAAATATATTTTTATTAATTCCATAAATAGTTTGTTTTTTTAGTTTTTCTCCATATATGGACAATATTCCGCATTCAAAATCTGTTAAATTATTTACTTCCTTATAAAATACATTTATTTATGTTGTAACATTAAAATAATAAGAAAAGTATTTTAAAAAATCCGCTAGTAATTAAATAGTTAATCATAGGTCCATTGGAACTAACTCGACTAACGTCGTTCGGGCAGGTCGCGCGCCTAATGAAGGGTTACATAACAAAAATAGCACAAGAAAATAGCTTGAGAATCATATGAGATCTCTTTGACCAAGAATAAATTTAATGCGTTTTAAGGACATTTTAAATATAAATATTGCAAACACTATTTTGATTTTGAATCAAAATGTTGCTATATTCAAAAATATAAGTATCAGACCTAAAACATCAGTTAATTCGTTTCATATAAACAGCTGCCCTTTCTCTGTCAAACATAACGGGATTCCAAATTAACGTCAGTCACTGAATTTCGTTAATCACATTAGCAAGTGCTCGAAATCAGGTCAATCTATTAGAACAAGTTTGCAGACCGTCTGTTAACGATTAATAGGCAAAATGACCCTTTTAGCGATGGGTTATATTACGATAGCCCTTACAGTTAATTACAAAATCATACTGGGCGTCAGAGCTTGTACAATTTGACAGTAATCGTTTGTTTGAACCTAACGTGTTATGATATAAATTGAAATTTAATCGAAACACACTATAAAAGAAATAAAACGTAACAAAAAAAAGTATAAAGAAAAGTTAGGATACTTTTAACAACTGGTATTTCATGCTCTTTACAGTACTTTTTAATTGAAGTTATATATAAAAGATATGCTCTTTCTAACACAAATCCCTTTTTCTAACTCGGCTCATACAAGGTGATAATTTAAAACTTTCCTACCGTTAAGATCTATATTCCTGCAAATAATATAAACAAATCGGAAAAGTAGGTAAATTTGTTTTAAAACACCTTCATCTAGGAGTGCTTCTTTTCTTCTTTTTGTCCTTAGGCAACTGCTGGTATATAATTTTTTTACTCATATGCTTTTTTCTTATTTGCTAATTTGCTTTAATTATATACACCCTAACAGGTCTTAGAGGCCTATGGCTTGAAATTTTTCCACTGTTTTTCTTGATTTTTTTTTGTCTATGGCCACAATTCTCAAATTTGTTATGCTGGTTGCTTAAGGATCTTCCTTACACGCTTCTAGCCACTTTTTTTGTGGTTGTCCCCTTCTCTTTTTTCCTTCTCCTTTATAATTTCTTTCCTGGTTAGCTTTCCGATCTCTGCATTTGTTCGTTCGTCTTCTCCAAATGTCTTCATAGTTTTTTACTTTCCAGAATATATCTTTCTAAAACCACTTTGTTTCCAGATATTCCGCATATTTCCTTGATTTTTGTTTATAACTTGTACAAAAAGGGTGTACATACGTGGAAAATTATTAGTATAATTTCCGTGTATGTAAACTGTATTATATAGGGCTGGTTTAATATAATTAGGATATGTAATAAAAGGTATACAGACAATAGCCAATTAAGTGTATAGAAAGTCTAACCAATATTTTTTTCTGCTGCTCCACACTCTCACGGTTGTTTCCAGTCTTCACTCGTGGTTATTCTTCACCCGCGAAATCTGTCCGATGCACCGGTTTCTGAACACGTGTTTCGCAAATATATCACGATATAGAGTACACTTTATCTGCACACGATTTAATACAGTATTTTCGATATTTCTCGCGTAACTAAAGCGGGAAAGAGGTAATTACGATAGAAAAACGGCCAAGATAGATGCTGTTCTTCTTGATAAGCGAAGAGAGAGAATAAAAGAGAGAGAGGGAGCGTCTGGCTCTAGCGATGGCCAAACTAAGAGAGTTCTGTCCTTATCGACAGCTGATAATCAAGAGAGTGTGTTTCTTCTTTGCTATCTTAAAACTGTCTGTATTTCGTAAGGGAGGGGGTTGAACTGTAAGTAGGAAGGGTTATTAAGGGTTGGACTAGGATAATTATTATAAAATTGTAAAATAAGGATAGTTAATAATACAGCGAATAAATGACATGATTTTTCGCACGTGAGAAAATTGAACATAACTCATGTTTCGCTTCCATACAGGACCATCGGTTTTGATCACCATTATTTGATCTTAATTTTGACAATCTAGAGATGTTTTTTATGCTTAGTAGTTTAAATATAGCTCAAACCGTGTTCTTGTTGTCTCGAAATCAGCTTTTTAATTTCTTGGATTTCTTCCCCTTTTCCACTTGTTAGTGTTACTGAGAAACACGAAACAAGACAGCTTAAATCGATAATAGACTACATAATTTTCAAATAAGATACCACAATAAAGATCAAAGATGTGCGAGTCAGAAGAGGAGCAGAATGTGGAACGGACCATAAACTACTGACAGTAAAAATGGGCATTAATTGGAAACATAACCAGACCCACTCTACAGAAGAACCGTTAAACACTATAAAAGAAAAACAATACAATATAGAACTACTCGAAGCACAATCAATAAGAGAACTATACTAACAACGTCGAGACCAAAAATTAATAGAATTTAGATACGGCAACATCGAAGATATATAAAAGCATATAAAGGCGAGTATAAGACAAGCAGCACTTCAAACCCTTGGAAAAAAAGAACTTATAATAAATAAACAGCACTATTATGAAATAAATGAACCAACAAAAAGAATAATTGAGAAGAAAAAAAGCAACTATACAGAAAGTGGCTGACTACAAACAACGATGAAGTTTATAAAGAATAAAGAGAAGTGAAAAAACAAATAACACAACAAAAGAATGAAGAATGGGAAAGGAGACACAAGAACTTCGGAGTCATGGATTGAAATAAATCTCAAAAGAAAAAATTCAATTGGGAAATATACAGGACAAAGAATGGAAGGACTATTACAAGGAACTGTTAACAGAACACAGACCACAATTCATTGGAAAAGAAAACGGGCAAAGACAAAGCAGATCCCCACAGCAAGAAATAAAAATAACAGATAGGGAAATCAGAACGGCCATAAAAGCAATCAAAACTAAGAAAGCACCGGGACCTGGAGGCATCTCACCCGAACTTATTAAATACGGATCAAAGAAATTACACCGGATGCTACAATGGGTATTTTAGAAAGCTATAAATGGAGAACAGCTCCCAAAGGAATGAACGGAGGCATATAGGACATCTATATTAAGGAACGGAGATATAAAACGATGCAAAAACTACAGAGGAATAAGCGTAATATCATCAATAGGAAGATTATATGACAAGATACTGCGAGAAAAGTTAGAGAAAGCGATAAAAGGCAAAATCAGAGAGGATCAGGCAGGTTTCACGGCAGGAAGATCATGCATAGACCACATATACACACTGGAACAACTGTTGGAAAAGAAAAAAGCAAAAAATAAAGATATACATTTGGCATTTGTGGACCTAAAAAAGGCGTATGACTCTGTACCAAGGTCAGAACTATGGGAGGCAATGTACAAATTAGAATTACAGACAGAACTCATAAAAGCTACAAGAGCTCTGTATAAAGAAAATAAAGTGTTCATTAAAGTGGTAACAAGAATCATAGGAGACTTTATCACAG